GGGGGTGATTTCTCGCTTTCTGTCTCTCTGTCTCTGTCTTTCTGGTGAGCACACGCGCCCCAAAGCAAAAACCTCTCCAAAAAAAAAAGGAAAAAATAAAAGAATACTTGAGGTCTTAGACTAAATGCTTTTAAATATTAATGTCTCTTGGATTCTCTTAGTCACTTTTTGATGTAGGTGTATTTTCTTATTTTACCATGTAGCAAACTAAAACGTAGAGAGTTTTGATTTAGCTAATATGATCAGTAAGGGGTAAAGCTGAAATTTGGAGCCAGATATCTGTGACTCCATAGCCTCAGCTCTGGGCTCTTCAATTCAAATGTGTACAGTGGCATCTGAACTTTTGCGAGTATGTGTGGTGTCTGCCATCTTGTTTCCTTCAGAATAGGGACTCAGAATATCTGAAAATACCCAGAGACTGCTGAATAAGTCATTGCCATCTCTAGTGTGGGGAGGTCTTTTGTTGTGGGGAGGAATGAGTGTGATGTGCGTTGTGTTCAGGCCTTGTATCCTTGTGCCCATCCCCCAGGCCCCTTCATGGCTGTGCTCTTTGCCAAACTCGAGAACATGCTGCAGAACTCCGTCTATGTCAACTTCCTGCTGACAGGGCTGGTGGCCCAGCTGGCCTGTCACCCCCAGCCCCTGCTCCGCTCTTTCCTGCTCAACACCAACATGGTCTTCCAGCCCAGTGTCAAGTCCCTGCTGCAGGTGTGCGATGCATGCATGCATGGGTGCGTCCAGGCTCCATGGTGGGCCAGACCCACAGCTGGAGTGACTCTGGGTGGGCTGGGAACAGGTCCAGTGGGACTAGAAAGAACTGTGTCAGTCTAGAGCCACCCAGAAATGTCATGAAGTTGTGCTTTATAGGTGCTGGGCTCTGTGAAGAATAAAATTGAAAGCTTTGCGGCCTCCCAGGAGGACTTCCCAGCACTACTATCCAAAGCCAAGAAGTACCTCATTGCCCGTGGCAAGTTGGACTGGGCAGAGGGCCCTGCAGCAGTACCTGTACCTCGCCGCTCCGACCCCCTAGGTGAGGCCTGTATCATGAGTCCCTCCCTCCCTACAAAGCCTGTTAGCCCTGTTAATTCAGCTCTTAAGTGTGAAACCTTATGACGGGAACCAGAGTTGTAGAAAATTGAGTCTTGATGTTTGTCCTCAGGCTTCTGGACAGAGGACAGAACATGGTTCTATGTTTTTTTTTTTTTTTTTTTTCCTCCAGATGGCATGTGCACTTACCAGAGAAAGTGTAAGAAAGCACCTTGCAAAGAGGTGTGGCCATGCTGCTCCATTTCCATCCTGTTAGCATTTTGGCATGCACAGACACACATGCCTGCTATGTTTCTCAGGCCATCGGAGCTGGGATTCAAACTTCGGTCAGCCATGTGGGATTTGGCTGTCTATGCACAGCACTTAACCACTACACTATGGAGCCAACCATATAGATTTAACATACACAGATACATAGATAGATAGATGGATATAACAGATAGTTACGTTTGTTAAGAGCTAAATCAGCAGTATTGCCATGTACTGCTCTAGGATTTGGGGACAGACAAAGGGACTGTATTCTCTAGGTTGAGATATTATAGCTTAGCAAAGGGGATGACATTTGACATGGGCCTTGGGAGATGGGTAGGACTTAGCTAGACCAAGGAGTGGGAGTCCTTTATTCCTTTGTTCAGGAGATGTCCTGGACTATTTAGTTGCAGCATGGGGTTTATAGGGTGGTAGAACAGTTGGTGGTAAGGTTTAGTCAGAGCAGAATGATTTCAGGGTAGGAACTGGGCTTGGTAGAAATTGTGATCTTATAGACGGTGAAAAACTACTAGAGTTTTTAAAATCTACTAGACGTTTTTAAATCCAAAAGGAGTATGTTAGCTCAGGGAATTGGAAGTAGGAGAAAGGGAGTCAGGAAGAGTAGTCAGAAGCTTTTGTCATAATGTAGTTGTGACTAGAGAGGCTGAATTAGAGTAGTCAAAAAGGTAGAAGTGGGAAGGAAGTTTTGGCAGAATTTGGCGAGTGGCTGTGGGTTACAGGAAGAAGGAAGAAATATGACCATGTCGTTTTAAATCTAGATCTTTCATTGACAAGTAGCTGAGTACTTGCAATGTGTGCTAGAGATTTTCTTTGGTATAAGGGATTCAAGGCAGTATAGGATGTGAATGAACATATAGTCTGGAGAGTGACTAGAGGGATGTAATAGGGAGGAGGGTTCTAGTGCTCATGGAGTGATGGCATCTAGAGAGTAAGAAAAGAATTAACTTCAGACAAGAAAAGGCTTTTTGTTTTTTCCTCCTCGGAGGTAAATGAGAGTGTAAGGAGGAAATGACTTGTATCGGTGGAGTTGTGAAGTGTGGAAAGAGGGATTTCATGTCATCCTTTATTTACTGATCTGTGTAGGAGGCAAAATGAGAGCAGAGTTGAGAGTGAAGCTGAAATGGAGGTTTGAAGAGACAAGTGCGTAGGCTGAGGTGAGAGGCCCATAGGGTTATTGCATAGCAGTGTGAACCCAGCTGAAGCTTGTTAGCATGAGTTCCTCAGGGCCCAGTACCTTGAATATTTCTTGCATCTATGATTTTGGCACTGTGGTCACTGTGGAGGGGGCAGGGATTAAAGGGCAGATACGACACATCCCGAGCCCTTAAGCTTCCAGATTAGTGAATGAGGTAGAGACATAGAATGAAAATTTTAAAGTATGTTGAGATAAGGACAATAAAATAGGAAGTTAATGGAGGTTTCCTAGAGAGGTGGTGATAGGAAGGAAGGATAAACAAAAGTAGGGAGAGCAAAATTTGGGTGATAGAGCTGCAGAAGCATAAAATGTGTCTGAAGGTCCCAGGAAGGTAAGTGGGGATGAAAAAGCAACGTGGGTTGTAGAGTGTTTGAGAAGAGGTTGGAGAAGGAGCCAGAGCCTGGTAGTGAGGGGATCTGGATGCCAGGTTTAATAGCTCTGTGTAGCATCTCCATAGCCAACATTACAGGTAGAGAATGAGAACCGTTGTCATGATCCAGAGGATGTAGAATCTAGGCCTAACAGTGGTCATGGGTCTAGACTCAGGAACTAGGCAGAAAATTGGAGGAGAGAGGACAGTATTTTCAATGACTCATTTGTATCCAAATTGATAGGAAGTTGTCTGGCCACAGCCAGTGGAAAAAGAACCTCTGGTGAGTGGATATAGAACAGTGAAGTGGTGATAAAGGAGAACGGATCGTGGAGGGATGGGGACTTAGAAGTAGGGCCTGAAGTGTAATTGCATACAAAGAGCCTTCATGGAGGACTGGCCCTGTAGCGTCATGGCTAGGCGGAGGAAAGTAGTTCCCATGTGGTCCACTGTGGTTTGAATCCCTGCACTGGTGGCTTGAAAAGAAAATGTGTGCATGTATGCCTAGGATCCTGATGAGATGGTGGAGTGGAGGAAACGGGATCGTGGTGCCCCTCATTGAGGGGGCACTTTCTGAGGCGTGCACACACTGTCTTCTGGCATAAAAAAAGAAAGTTAATGAAAAATGCATATTATGAAAAACTATACATGGATTTTGAAATTCTTTTGCACAAAAATAAACTTAAATTTTAAATCTATTTTTCACCAACTTTTTGAAGTACATAGCCCTTGTGAGTATTGAATGCACAGAGGCTGTGGATCAGGTGTTAGAGACAGGCAGGGGGAGATGGAAGTGATTGATTCTAATTGAGGAGGGTGATAGGAATCATGAAATAAGAAGGCCTTATTAGTGACCAAGGAGAAATATTGGGCTATCAGAAAAGTCATGAAGTACTTTTTCTGTGCAAAAATGGCGTCATGACTTTTCTGAACCCAGTAGCTTGGTGGTGCTAGAGTAGTGATTGGAGAGGAGGATCACTCAGGGTGAGAGGCAGAGTATCTTGCCAGAAATGAAATGGCTGAAGTGTTGACTAGTTAAGACTGGGAATTATATAGGTTGTCTGGGTGGGGAGGCAGGATGGAGGGACAAGGACTAGACTGGCAGCATTTTAGTATTAGAGGGAAAGGAACTACTTAGTCCTCAGAGGACTTCAATAGTGGAACAGGAAGTGGTTCCTGCAGTTCATTTCTGGTTCATTATATTCTTTCTGCCTTTCCCTCAAAATACTAATGGTGAAGTTAGGAACCTAGGGGGTGGGAGAATATCCTGTTTGGGACCAAGGGAGGTTCCCTGATCCCAGCACCTTCATGATACCCCTGTTTATTCCCAGTGAAGAGCCGGAGGCCGTCCTTGGGGGAGTTACTCCTGCGGCATGCACACAGTCCAACCAGGGCCCGGCAGGCAGCACAATTGGTCCTTCAGCCTGGGCGAGATGGAGCTGGACTTGGCCTAGGTGGGGGCTCCCCTGGGGCTTCAACTCCAGTCCTCCCTCTGCGGGGCGGGGCCCCCGAGCGCCAAGGTGAGGCTCTGCGAGTCAAGAATGCTGTCTACTGTGCAGTCATTTTCCCTGAGTTTCTCAAGGAGTTGGCTGCCATCTCCCAGGCCCATGCTGTCACCTCGCCTTTCTTGTTGGATACTTCAGAGGATGGATCTGGTCCTCCCATCTCAGGCTTTGGGCCCCTCAATCCTTAACTTTCTTCTATGGACAATCAGGGCCATGGGTGGCCTGGGCTGGGGCCAGGGCACAGGCCCCTTTTTATGTTTGGAGGCAGTGGCAAAAGGACTTTTTAATTTATTTCAGATGAATGTTTTATGGAGAACTTGTTGCAATATGTATAAAAGGGAAATCTCTATTCTGTGCTCATTCTTCTTTCCCACCCTGTTTTTATGGGTTTGGAGCATTGCACATTGTACATTATACATTGATGGGGAGGTGGTCAGGGATATTTTCTCTCTGATGACATCGATGCCAGGTTTTCAAGGTACCTCTTATGCCCTGAGAGGATGAGGGGACTTGAAGCCCAGGGAAAATGGTGGGAAAACGGTGGGGACTCTCCCTTGTCTCTGGACCCCAGAAGGAAGAAGCAGCATGGGCCCAAGATGGTTTGGGGGAGCAGCAGCTGGTGTTTATTGGGGACCAGTATCCCTATGCCAGATCTTGGGGGCCTTGCCCCCTGCATCTCTTGCCTCAGCTTCAGTCGTCGCTGTCGAACTCCGAGGACAGACCCTGCAGCAGGGGCAGGGACATGGAGTGCCGGTCGGGGTCCCCGGGGCCCCCACCCTGGCCTCCTGGTGGGGGGCTGCGGGGGCTGAAGAGCCAGTTCTCTGCCAGGGTTGGGGATAGGCACAGCTTGACTCATGCCCTGATCCTTCTGCCTCCCTTGTCCCTCCCACTGGTCCGCTGTGCTATCCCCAGCCCTCACCAGGGTTATGCCTCCATCTTACCCTTCCCTGGCTCCCTACCTCCATTCCTCTTGCAAGAGTCTTATGCAGCATCATGGTTGCCCCACACCATATTTCTGGACTATACTCTCATACCCTCTCCCTCCTTTAACTTTGTTTCTCCCACCCCCCTCATCTTCATTTTCTCCAGCAGTACCTGATAACATCTGGGGCCCCCTCCGGAAGGGGTTTCGGCCCTTGTAGGAGAATCTGGTGGGTCTGCCCTCTGGTCCTTCCTGGGGAGGTGGTGTAGGTGGGGCTGGGACAGTTGGAGGCACATCAACAGCTTCAGGGGCATCAGCAGGTACCGATGTGGGGGCCAGTGGTGGCATGAGGCTGAGGTTGGGTCTGACCCAGTTAGCCCCATGGGGCAATGGGTCTTTAGTCAGAGGCTTCTGTGGTCCCAGCACACCCTTGGGCTGCAGTGAAAACTTGAGGCAGGAGAAGGCCACAGGCAATGAACGCTGTAACCGTAGCAGCTGGGGCTCACGGCCTGTAGGCAACAGCCCCAGCTGCAGCCAAGAGCAGGAAAAGACCTGGTAGATGACATAGATGCTGTGGGTGCTTCGGAGCCAGGGAAGAGTCTGTTGTAGGCTCACCTGGCCTGGCGGCAGCAACAGGAAGGCTACCTTCTTGCGTAGGCCACCCATATGTAGGCGTATCCGGCAGGGCTGCCCATCCAACAGTCGCATCTCTTCATAGGCTATCTCTGCTCGGCCATTTGGTGAGTATTCCCGAGTGCAGTGGGCAAAGGCACCCTCAGACCCTGCCTGCTCCAGGAGGTTTGGTAGTGGCCCTACTGGTTTCAGTGCCCTCCGTCCTTGCCGACCTGGCAGAGCCAGGCGGGTGTGGGCCGGGCGGGACTGTTTCACTAGCACACCCAGTAGGTCATAGCAGGCTGCATCCGACAAGAATGGTACTGCCACTACATTGGATCCAAAGCGCTCCTCGATGACCTGCAGGTGGCCAGTTGATAGGTCAGGGACTGAGTAGGATCAGGAGTTAACTGGTAGCCTACTCTAGAGAGACCTTCCCACCATTCACTGTTCAGTTACATCTTTACAGCATGCTCAGGCTTTCTGCATATCTCCCAGTTATTTCCTTCAGCAAAATTTTTTTAAAAAAATTTTTATGTTTATTTTTAAAATTATTATTATTATTATTATTTTGTCATTAGATGTGTGCGCTTGCTAGAGAGAGAGACACAGTGAGAGGGAAAGTGAGAAATCATCCCCCCTAAGGGAGATGACCCCGTTGCAATCCCTTCTCTTCCATTCTCTTCCTGAGCTTTTGGGCATGTACACACATGTCCCTGGCATGATTTTTTTTTTTTTTTTGGAGAGGTTTTTGCTATAGAGCGCATGCACTTGCCAGACAGAAAGAGACAGAGAGACAGAAAGCGAGAAATCACTCCCCAGGGGAGATGGTCACGCCACAATCCCTTCTCCATTCTCCTCTCAGGATCTTGGGCACGCACGCACACGCACCCAGCGTGAGTTTTAAGCCACTGGGTCTGGGACGTGAACTGCGGTCGACTATGTGGGAGTCCAGCGACATAGCCATTACGCTAACTGCTGGTCCCCCTGGCATGATTTTTAAGCCACCAGGTCCAGGACTCAATCTGCGGTCAGCCATGTGAGAGCACTTTAACCCCCATGCCACCTGCTTTTCCCCCTACAGCAAAATCTTGAGTTTCTACCATAGTAGATACTGGAAAAACATAAAAGGGTGAGACTTTGTTCTTGTTTTAGTATAGCTCAGTTTAAGGGAGGAGACAAAAATGTAAACTGTAGTCAGCTAAGTAAAATAATAGAGCAAAGAGTGAAGGAGGCAAGTTGTGTCTTAATAGCTTTGGTCTTTGATAAAAGAAGGCTCAAAGAAGGTTTCTAGGTGCTAATACCTGAGCTTTGAAGGAATTAAGTCAATAGAAGAATGATCAGTCCAGGAAGAGGGGATAGCCAGTGGAAAAACCTGAGCTGACAAGCCAAGAGGGGCATGTTTAGGAACACATAATTTCATTTAACTTGTAGGCTATGAAGAGGGAAGGGCACATAGGAACTAGGCCTTGTTTGTGTGTCAAGTGACTCAAATTTTAACTTGAGGGCAGTGGGAAGCCACTTACAGGGAAGGAGACACAGGATCAGATAGGTATTTTAGATAGTTTAGTTTTAATAGGCATACAATAAGAGGTAGATCAACTAAGAGTACTGTCATACTCCAGGCAAGACATGGTGGGGCCCTGAACCAAAATAATGGAGGGAGATATTAGACGTATTTAAGTTGTAGAACTAGTAGAATTTGGTCACTTAAGGGGTATGGGATGGGAAAAGGCATCTTCAAGGATCATTCCTAGGTGATGGGTACATGGGTGATGTCATGAACTGAGAATGGGTACACAGAAATAGATTTGGAAAGCTCATAATTACGGTGTGTCTGTTACTTCTTAGAATATACCTTCTGCCCTGCCTGTGGGGGAGATTTCTTTTAGAAAATCTGAGGCCTCATCTTTATAATGTTAGTTCCAGTTTTCCTTGGTTTTTGTCTTGGCCTTTTTTGGACTTGGTAACCCAGTTCTGGAAAGTTTACTTCATGACAATTGAGAAACCCTGTAAGACCCTGTCTAGTAATTGTACTTGGGTATTGTGATCTTGACCGATTCAGGATTCTGTTGGTTGAGACTTCTGCCTGCCTGTTCTGCTGGGAGCAAGGGCACACGAAAATCCCTTTTGGGCCTCTTTCATATTTGAGCCCCATGCTTAAAGTGCTGTTCTCTACCCTCAGCCCTCAAGTTCTATGTGTCTGTGTCTCTGCTAATGGCACTGATCACTCTGCTGGCCTTTTGCTACATATAACTATTTTAGAAGTGCCGCCCCAGCATAGGAGTAGGGTAGTTAGCTGATGGAGTTTCTGCTCTTTGGACAAGCTGAGGCAGAGTGAAGACTGCTGTCTTTAGTCACCTGGCCAAGGAAAAAAACAAGCTTGCTCTTGATCTGCATGGATGAATTTTTTCCCCTCATTCCTTCCCCTTTACTTCACTGAGATCTGGAATGCTTTTTTTGGGTAGAGATACCAGACTAAAGAATAGGCTCTGAAAAGGGCCAGTTTGCTTTCCAGGGTAAGAGCAGGGCACTGGTGGATTGGCATTTTTGGATGGAATGCTTTGCCCCATGACAATGAGAGCACAGTCACCTAGCCTAACTTCAGAATCCCACCCCAGCTGCTCCTTTAGTTTCTAGGCAGTCTTACAAAAATAAGACCGATGAGTGGAAGGATCTCCAGAAGAGACCCCTCTAACAGGAGTGTAATATTTAAAAAACCTGGTGTATGTTGTCTAAATTTCTGCCAAAAGGGTTTCTGTTGGAGCTGGAGGCTCTTCCCCAGCATATAGGCATTAATTTGCTATGGAAGTTTATTAGGTCTTCACTTTTTACCCATCCCAAAATAGGAAAAATAAGAAACCCATTTCATTGCTGAATTTTTTGCTAGAATGTCTGTTTATGACTACCACCTGCTTCTACTAACCTTCCCCTTGTGGGGAGTAGTTCTATGGTTTTTATGAGGCTTGTAAATTTAGGTTTCCCAGGAGCAGCCCAGGACAGTGAAGGAAGATTGTCTTCCTAAATATTCCTTGGTTGCCTTGAATTCTGAATGGAGCTCTTGAACCAAAGTCTCTTTTACAAAATGCCCAGTAAACTGCCAGCAGTTCTGGAGACAGGTAACTAGGTCACTCAAAGGTGCCTTACTCCTTGAATTTGCCGCATCCACTAGTGATTTATCCTGCACATCTCTACCTGGTTTTCCTGACAATTTTCCACTTAAATAAGATAGTGAATTTTTCTGGTAGCTTTCTCATAGTGAAGATACCATTTACTTTACCCTAATTCTGACTGATCTAGTCCAGGATCAACCTTCTGCACTGAAGAAACCCATCAGTCTAATACTTGGGGAGGACAGTGGCTTTCCTGTTTTGCCTCCCTGGGAAGCCACTGTTTGTGGAGAACAGCTATTTCATTTGCAGTGAGAGCTGTGTGTGCTATTAAGGTGGCTTTGAGTCTGGTTAGGCACTGCTTTAAGAGGTTTTTTTTTTTTTTTTTTTTTTTTTTTTTTTTTTTTTTTTTTTTTTTTTTTTTTTTAA